GTGTGTGTGTGTGTGTCAGGTATGGTGTAAAACTGCTTCCTGTTTGTCTTTCAGTCAATCGGCTGTGAATACTATGTTTCATTCTCAACGGAGGTGCGTTACCTCAACCTAAGCCTTTTTAAGTGTTATTTATTGGAGCACCATTGAGACTATAATATCAAAAGCTTTATCAACATTACACATAACCTCCATCCTCCCTCCTACTCCATCCATCGTAGAACATAAACGTCTTTGTAGTGCACTATAGGCTTGATGTGACTCTTCACATAAGTAAACATGCTAGTTGAATGCTCTAACCTTTATTTAGTATAACAAAAGGCTGCTATGGGTTTTTCTTTACATTTTTATTTACCTGCCAAAATTACATTTCTCAACCACACACATCTATCTAACTGTTTGTCATTTCCACACAAAGTTTGGCTTACATGCTGCTGGATTTTCACTTTGTGTGTGTTTGTCCATGTGTGATCGCACTGTGTGTCTGTCCACCATGCCAATACAGATTGATGTGTAAGAGTGTATTAGTAGCTTCTCTCATTTAACTTTCACTCCTATTAGTTCACCTCTAACACCATGTAACACCAGGATAAAACATGACAGAAGCAATATTTCCATGTAAGCATTCTTTTTTTTAAAGTCATTATCCATCATTATTTCACATTCAAGACTTTTATTACCTTTTTTTTACTAAATGTGGATAGGTTTCTCACACATTTGTTAAACGTGTAAAGGAATCCCAAATTTACAAACATCCAATTGGGAAAACTTAAATTAACTGATTAAGAAATATCTACTAATGGTCCTGACATGTATAAAATATTACTGCTGCTTTATAGTTAACATGTCAATACATTTACATTAATAAAAGTGTTTCATTCACAAAATGAATGAATTAAATTTTTGCTCAAGTGTGAAATAATCTCTCTGACATTCATTCATATCCACCCCTTCAATCTTTCGATTGAATGAACGGAAAGAAACACTTTGGAACAGGGTTTCACCATCAATCAAAAACTATAAATGAAAGACTAAATGAATTAGACAAGTCCGCATTTAACTGTGTTTCTCCTCCTCAGGATTGAGCTGCGTTCTCTAGGCAAGATCGAAGAGGGAGAGGAGCTGACTGTCGCATATGTGGACTTCTTGAATTTGTCAGAAGAGAGACGAAGACTGCTGAAAACACAGTACTTCTTTGACTGCACATGCGAGCACTGCAAGAACGGCATCAAAGATGACTTGAAGTTGGGGGGAAAGGAAGAAGAAGGAGTCAAGGTTTGTCTGTTTTCATGAAGCAAGAGAAAATATTTTCTACTGCACAAGGCAGAAAGGGTCAAACCCTCTCCCTACATGTACTACTGACATGGCTGATAAGGACAGACGGGAAACATGAGAAGCAGAGCCACAGTGACTATTTTAAGCAAAGATAACTCCCAACAGATTGCATGTGCGTGCATTCACGCATTATAGAAACAGTGATGTAGAGAAAATTAACATTTACTCAATAAGTGAAATGACTTTAAGGTCGTACATATTTTTAAATGTTTTACAATATACCAGTAGTCATTATCTTATGTATTTTTGTTATATTATATAATTTACATAAAAATTATATACATTTAAAATATAAAATGTATATAAAACCAATACCAAACAGCTTACAATTTTCTTCATTTAATACTCTGAGATGTGTAAATTAATGTATGAAACAACATAAAAAGTGAGGTAATTCCATGGCCTTAAATGACACAGCTTGACATTATCTTAATCTGTGAAACTTGAGTCACTTCTGTCTAGATGTACGTGTTGGTCAGAAGTTATAAATAGGATGTGTCAGGAACTATCTATAAAGGAAGTTTATGGAGTTTATAACAATAGAAATCTGACATACTGATGAAAATTGTTACCATTTGGCTGTCTAATGATATCCATAATGACTAGGAATTGTATTTTAATCATATATCAGTGTAAATCTTTGTTTGTTGTTAGGAAAATAAACAAGTCTTAGACAAGGCTCCTTCAGCAGGTCAAAGGTCTTCTTAAGATTATAATAAATCAGAAATAATTAGGTCTTTAAAAATAAACAGCCTGGCATTGTGTATTTCATTGTCAGTGTGTTAATACTTGAATTTAAATTACTTCCTTAAAATGTTATCAATGTCTCCCATCTTGAACTCTCAGCCTTCAGAGGAGCAGGTGAAAGAGGCAACAGATTATTGCTTTCAAATGCTGGAGAAGATGGACAAGGCCCGGTTAAATGGTGACTACCACGAGGTATTGTATCAAAATGCCCCAGAAAGATGTTTTTTTAACCATGCAACAGAATTCAAGACTTGTTTTTTCCCTCCATCTTCTCTTTACGTTGCTGTTTTTTCTCTTCAGGTGGTAAAAATCTGTAAGGAGTGCATAGAGAAAACAGAGCCGATTCTGGCTGACACACACATCTACCTTCTGAGGATGTGGAGCACATTAAGTGAGGTGCAAGCTTACCTGCAGTACTTTAATGATGCTGCAGACTACGCCCGCAAAATGGTGGATGGATACGTGTGAGTACAAAGACACTAAGCCGTCTGTTGCACATCTAGCACATCATATCCTTTCCATGTCTTCACTGTGTAAAACTGAATAAATAAATACTGAAATAAACCAAATCTCTTTTCCTGACAGGAAACTGTACCACCCAAACAATGCTGTTCTCGGTATGGCTGCTATGCGAGCAGGAGTGACACACTGGCAAGCTGGGCTGATAGAAGTTGGCCACGGGATGGTCTGCAAGGCCTATGCCATTCTCATGGTCACCCATGGCCCAACACATCCCATCACCAAAGACCTGGAGGTAAACACATAACAATCTCATCATCTGCATATAAATCTGCATTTGGATGTGAATAAGCTTGTGGTTGGCTCTACTAAAATGTTATTTTAATGCTAAATTTAAATTGTAGTCAGATTTTTCATATTATTTTTAATACAGTTCAAATGACTGTGATATTACCAATTCCATTAAAGCAATATCTATATAATAAATTATTGTACATTACCAGCTGTTTAGAGACTAGCTGCTGAGCATTTAAAGGTCCAGTATGTGTTCTTAGGCACATTTCACAGCCACTTTACTTATTTTGATACAGTTTTAATAATATGCGTGGTATGGCCAATACATAAAGATTAGTATTCACATTTAAATACGGCTCTGGTACAAACTGGCCAGGTTACAAGCATTACTGTATACTATAGCTAAACATTTTAAGGACAGTTTTTTTCCTCCTTCTGATGTTTCCACAGGCGATGCGTATGCAGACAGAGATGGAGCTGAGGATGTTCAAGCAGAACGAGTATGTTTACCACAGTATGAGAGAGGCTGCTCTAAAGAACAGACCAATGACCATGATGCATGAACCCGGGTCTGTGGAGGAGGGAATCAAGAATCTCTTCCACCGGAGGAAGTAATCACAGGACTGCAGTCATTCAACGATCAATAAAGTCAGAGTTCACTGATCTTATTGTTTACTGTACTGTACTGTGTGTTGGTGTTAGTCTACTCATTTAGTCACGTGATCTTTCTTTTACACTTTTCCTTAAAAAAAATAAATAAAAATAGATGTCACATTGAACTTAGGCATTTTGTTTTCAATAAACCTAGTGGAACTACAGAAATGTCATGAAGTTAAAGAAAAAAAAACATTTTTAAAACATGCAGTGCAAGCACTTGTACACCCGTTGCTCTTTGTGCCATCAATACTTCAGTTGTGCTGTCAGGTAAAACATGATTTTCAATAAAATTCACTTTAACGTTAACCGTTCTGGTTTAATGCAAGACTGCGTAACTACGTGTGTATCAGAGGAGGTAATAAATTACTAGTATTACTTTAACCCTGCATAAGGCAAATTGTTGCCTACAGACAGAATGATACAAGATGCTCAGTTAGACTTCATTGAGGTGGTTTTATTTGAAGTTCTGGTTTTGTAATTTGTTTTGAATAGATAGTAAAATCAAAATGCCTTTAGTTTCTAGTGTAATGAACATTAAATTGTGGACAATATTGTTTGAAAATATAAACCCTGTTTCTTTAACTCATGGTCATTCATGCCTCTTGTCTGCCATTTTCTCCTTAAGAAATTTAAGCCCCATAAATGTCCTCCCTACTCATTGTTCACCTTAGCTCTTTTAAGGGCTGAGAGGCTTTAGAAATTAAGTCTTTATCAGGAACTAGTTGTAGTGGCAAGGAGAAATTCTTTGAAAATAATTGTAATGCAAGTATTTGTATTGTGTCACACCCCCCCCCCCCCCCCNNCCCCCTCCCTCTCTCTGTCACTATTAAACCACCTAATCCTCTGAGTAACGTTTGAGCTCAACTCCCTCATACACTGCCCATTATGCTTCCATGTAGCAAGTTGACACCCCCTGCTGTCCATTGGGTGGGTCTGCACCCACATTCATTACAGGTGGAGGCTCCAACATAAAGCTTAAAGTCAGAAGTGGCCTTCTTCCCATTGTCATTTTTTCTTGAAAATTTCCGAGACCATGTATGGCCCAACACTGCAAAGGCTTTTGCTTGAGGCAAGTTACATGACCCAGTTGTAGGGGTGAGGAATTAGCTGTTGTGCAGAACTAATTGTTTTGCCTTTTGTTGCCAGTTGCTCATTATGTAATTCTAGTCTGCCCCCTGCAAGAAACAATACCTTTATACATACATCCTTCTCAATAACGAGACCATTTTCTATGCAATGGTCGAGTAGATACATAATGGTAGAGACTGGTGATAATAAACCCAGCTTTATAAAAAAAAAAAAAAAAAAAAAAAAAAAAACTGCTGTAACTGCTATTTACCAGTTTACAATTTAAAATTATTTTTCAACTTAGTTTTACATTCAGAGCCATTTCAGTCCAAAGAAACCCAGACAATTCTGCAGTTTTACTTTTTATTATCCCAAGTGTAGACATTTACATGCGTTTGCTCGTCCTCTTGTATACAATGCCACCAAGAGTCATCGTCTGGGGGGGAAAAAAACAAAATTTGACTTAAGAGCCTTGTAACACTGAATTAGAAGAGTTATGTAGCGGTTTGCGTACTCACATTGACAATTGTGTTCCCATCCACCATTTCTGTGACGGATTCAATTCCCTTCAGGGACACCTTCAACTTGTTGCCTTCACGCTGAACCACCGCCTGAAAGCAGCAGGACATGTTTATATATGGGTCAATTGCATAAGTCTGAACCAGTGTGCAAGAGGATACAGGCACATTAGTGTTCAATATTGTCTAAAGTTTCTAGTTAGCAAGGCCTTTTATTTGGGTTAATTAAGGGTCCTGCTTACCTTGACCTTCTCTCCAGTAACTGTCTCCAGCTCTGCCTCCTTTCCAATGGTGAAGGTATTAATGAGGACCTTTGAGCCGGTAGTGACCGTCACTTTGAAGTTGTCCCCAGTCTCTTCAATCTCAGAGATGCTCTTGATGTCTTTGCCTTTCTGGATGAGTTCATCAGGAAGACCTAGAAGCACAATAGTTAAGAAGCCATTGAGGAAAAGCGTTCAGTTCCTTCCTAACAGTTTTAAGTTTAGTACTATAGATTAACATCACTAGACAAGCGAGAAAACCTTGTTTGATTACAAAAACATCTCCAACAGCTAGCAGTCAAACAAACATCATGAAATCTTACCAATAGCCTTCATAAAAGGCTCAAAGTTCTCCTGAGACTCCAGCTGGTACTTTCCAGTGAAAGACATGATGACAGGCAGTGAAGGTAAAGTGAGAAGCGGCTATCCGCCTGTTTTATACTCTCAGACTCCAGCATGGCAATCATTAACTACAGGTGTCTCCCATTAAGGTAGGTCCAGCCCACTTCAGAGATGATCCACCACCGCAGATAAAGACAGACAGAGATAAAGAAGAGGTACAGGGTGACTAGACTAGAGTTAGGTAATGTAGAGAGGAGAAAATAGTAAATGTTGAAGCCTTGTTGTCCATGTACAGAAAATGTATGTGATGATGTTGAAAGCCTTTGTCATGCACTAACATATGATGACAATGCATTAATCGCTTAGTCTAGAACAGGAAAACACAGAGAGCTTTTCTTTTTTTTTTGCTTTTTTTTATGCCTTTATTTGATAGGACAGCTGGAGATAGACAGGATAGGGAGGTAGAGAGAAGAGATGACATGCAGCAAAGGGCCGCAGGTCAGATTTGAACCCTGGNNNCAAGGACTCAGCCTTGGTACATGGGTCGCCAGCTCTACTCACTGAGTTCACCGGGCGCCCCACAGAGAGCATTTCTAAGGAAAAAAACTTCGCACATTTACACCAAAAACATAAATGCATGGTTATATGGTTATGGTTTCTTGAAATACAAAAAAAATGTAGGTTGTTTTCATGTTATATTAACAGTTTTCTCATTCTAAATGCTATTATTGTTATTGTTACTACTATTGGGAATAAATGTTTATCTTTATGTAATTTATATTTAAATTTTGCAGCTGATAAAAACCCTGCTTGAGTTTACACTGAACTCACAGGCACAGTGTTTCATTACAAAGGTACTCACTCAAATGATGTCACTATTCAAGATAAGCTTCCTGAAAAAAGAGAGCTCTCACCAAGCAGATCAACATATAAGAAAATAATTCAATCAGGCACAATGTCAATAATCTGTCATCAGTGCTTCAGAGTGTTAACTTTCTTCAATCTGCTGTGCCTACAGTTAATTTGTTTGGTGTTCACCCCTGTCACCGAACGAGAGTTTATGGTTAAAGCATTAAGTTAACAAAAAATGGATCAAAGGTGACTACAAGATAACTGTTGCAACAGTGATATTGTGTCACTGGAGCTGCCACGAAAACACACACAGCGTCATGTGAGAATCCTTTGGATTGTACAAAGCTGAACATCTGAAAGATAAAGACGGCTGTGGGCTTTGTACATTTAGTGATAGTGGAATATAGTGTAAAACCAAAGCCTGATAAGCTTTATGCTGACATGTTCCTTTGAGGATTTAGGAGGTTGTAGAAGGTCCACATTGCAACCATTTTAGAAGTTTCAGTCAGTAAAATAAAAAACAAGACTTTATACTCTCTCAAAACTTTATTTCAACATGCAGTTATCTGGATGACCACTGTCAGTACTCATCCTAATTTTCATACATAAAAATATATTGACAAAGGCACTCTACAGAAGTACTCCAGAGGAAAGAGCAAAATCAGAGTGATAATGACAAACAAAGAAATACAACTACAACTACAAGTCCCATTAAATCTCTACAGCTCAAGACTTTCCCACAAGACCTTGGTCTCAAGAGCACCTCATTGGTGAATTCGATGAGAAGTGTGACCAGCCAGATGCAGGAGCCTGAGGATGATGTCACCAGGGTCGCTGCCTTCGAATTGGCTGATTTGGTCGTCACCTTCCTCCTCGATGAGGCAGGATTGGTCTGTGGCGCAGCTTTCTGTGGCACAGATAAATAAAGGAGGAGCTATTACTTGGAACATGCTTGTCTGTTATTGCAAGGATACACTTTACAATATGTTGTTATCAGGTTTTGTGACCTGGGACGATTGAACCCTTTTCGGAACAAGAAGGCAGATGATCAAAGCAAGGTTCACAGTGACTGAAGTAGAGTAGAGGAGTAGAGGTCAAACGCATATTACAACTATAAAAACAAGAAAACTCTTATTCTGACAGCATTCATAAAATAATTTATTAAAAGTTATGTAAACATAAGGAGTTGGAATCAAAACCAGCATTCTTGTGCCACAGAAGAGGCGATTTGTCCCATTCAGCTCAATCAAATAGAATAGAAAGATATACAGTATGCAGTGGTAAAAAAGTAAATAATTACATTTACTCAAGCACTGCACTTAAGCACAGTTCTGTGGTGTTTGTACTTTACTTGAGTATTTCAATTTCATACAACTTTCTACTTTTTTTCCCTTTACATTTCAGAGGGTAACAATGTTACTTTTACGCTGGTAAATTTATTTAGTTACTACACAGATTCAATTTTTAGACAACTATTATGAGCATACATAATATGATATATTTGTATATTAAACCACCCAATAGTACATGAAATAACTACAATCAGCTCCACTTCAGTCAACTAAAGCATTAAAATGCTGTTTACAATGTAATGCAATGCAGTAATTATTGTCCAGTGGTAAAATATATATATAATAGAACTGTGACAGAGCCTGCATAATGAGTACTTTTACGTCATATTTATACTAGGTACATTTGCTCATAATTCCACTATTTGACTTAAGTACAGTTTTGAATGCAGGACTTGTATTTCTAAGGGAGTATTTTGCAGTATTGCTACTTTTACTTAAGTAAAGAATCCGAATACTTCTGTAATTCCTGACCTGCATCACAGCAGAGTCCTGAAGCAGCGCAGTGTCCTCCCTCTGATCCACAGGGTCTTCCTCCGGCCTGGCAGGGGGTGAGCAGGTAGTTCTCCTCTACACAGTGGGCTGTTTCTGGGGTGCCCAGCAGGCAACCAAGGCCCTCCCCGCAGCAGATACTGGGGCCAAAGCAGCGGCCCCTGTCTCCGGGGCCACACGACATGCACTGGAGGAGAAAACTATTGATTACTATTGCAGTTTAGAAAAGTAACATCACAGAAATGCAGTATCGTGTAAAACAGATTTATTGCTTAAGCTTTCTGAAGTGAATTTCTGATTTTTATTATTATTCTTTCTGTTCAAGGATAAGAGTTTTGGCCAAAAAATCTTTTACGTGCAATTATTGAGATTGATTCACATTTTTGAAGAAGATTCTTCGACATGTAGCCAACTATTTATTTAATGTAATTTTGCTCTAGTTATTTCTATGGATGTTTTAAAAAAACTATTGTATGTCTGTCCGTCCTTCCATTTGGTCTCTGTCAAATATTTTGTGTTTCTCTTTATCTGAATCAAAGGTGTAAGGAGGAGACAAATTTGTGCAGTGTGAATTTAGGCTATAAAATATTTGAGTTTATTTTGTCTCAGACGGTAGTGAAGTAGTTGCATAAGCAGCTCACCTTGCGCTGTGGTGCATCCATGATGGACCTTTTCCCACCGATAGGACAGTTAGAGATGTAACACGCTGAACATACAGACAAGAGAAAAAGTAGGCACATGGACACTGCAGCTCCAGTCATTTCTGCTGAGAGAAAGAAACTAGTTAGTACCCAAACATGCACAAAAAACAATTTAAGATTAGACCGAAATCTGCAGAAACAAAACTCACTTGTTGCTTAATTTCTTGATGAACAGTTAGACTTCAAGCGTTCTTTTCAGATGCTCCCAGATGCTTCTTCTGTTCTGGGTACCTCTGAAATGTCTTATATACTTCCAGAGCTTCTTTTGAGAGTGACACAGAAACCCCAAAACCACTTAGCGACCTTTAATGAGCCCGTTTTAGTTACTGTCACCTCCGGAGATGAAGCTGACCACTGGGCAGGCCGGGTCAAAGGGCTAGCCAGTTCTGTGGCCTGCTTTGCTTCTTGCTATTGAGAATCATTATAGAAGGGCTCGTTGTGCGTGACCGTGCATGTTAGAGATGACAGGAAAATCAGAGAGGTCAAGAGGAGAATGGGGAGATAAAATTATTCAGAGCATGAGTGGATACGAGTGTAGTACAACTTTGAGCTGCTTTCATAAAAAAAAGGAAATACATTTTAAGGATTTTCTACTTTATCAAGTATCTTTATCAGGACAGAAAGTAAGAAAAGGTCACATTCAAAGGCCATGAGAAGAAGAAGTTTATTTCTGAACCTCGGCCTACTGAGCGGCCATGTTGGTTCGGAAGTGCTTTACACAGAGTTTTTTGCAGAGTGGATGTTTGTAAACAAACACAGCGATGATGAAAGGATTTACACACAGACACACACACACATCTACAAATTTTCCTTTCTATTAATAAAATCCTTAATTCCTCACAGGAATTGATGCACACATCGTCCAGGTCTGAGGTTGATTGGTTTCATGAGCTAATTAACAAAGCTAATGATCGGCCACAACCCATAAAAGACGGTCTCACAGTTTCAATGATATGAGCTCAATTACTGCACCTCCCTCCTCATCTACTAACTGCCACCTCATCTCAATTAAAAACAAGTTTATAACAGTGTCTTTGTTCACTAACTTCAACTAGGACATTCAGACGTGGACTGACATTGGTTTAGTTAGATAGATAGATAGATATCACAGCCACAGACAGATCATAAAACATAACTGGAGTCACCATATGAAGACAAGTTGGTGTCCTGAAGTTGTGTAAACTGGATTGTCCCTCAAACAATGGGCCACTCTTGCCTCCTAGTGGCTGTGTTGACACATTTAATTTATTTATGCATTCATTTTGTATTGTCTGTTACTGTTTTCCTCTGTCATGCTTTTGCAGGAGGTGTACAAAATAACAAGAATACTGATTATGCAATATTGTGCAATCCATTATAACGCAACAACAATTTTTCTTCTTTAAAATGCAAAAAAAAAAAGAAGACTGAAAATGATGAATGTTAGAGGTAGTGTTTGTTGCAGGGCTTTTCTGCTGGGTTGCATTATATTATACAAGTGTTTAGGTTATAGTGCATATAAAAAGGCTATGCACCAAACTGACCGACTATCTGCTGGAACCTAAAAAACCTGAAGAACTTTTAGTGCTGTTCACAAACTTAAAGTGTTGTCATATTCCTTCTAGACACATAAAAGATATGAAATCAGTCTTTCTTAACATGCATTTCTTTGAGCTGTATAAAGAGAAAGGCTGAGATCATCGGCAGCATGTCACTTCACAGCTGTTAAACATTCAAACTGCATTGTTTTCTTGTGCAACATCAGATCTTGCCTGTCTGCGTTCCCCCAAAAGCTGTGCAAATCCCTATTTCATAGAGAAATGGAGATGTCTATCTAGTGTTTCCTTATTTTTCTGCAGGAAGGCACTAGGCTTGTTGACTTCCTCTCCCCTCCCTTCCTTCCTTCTCTCCGAAGGTACTCATCTGAAAAATGAGAACAAAGTGATTGTTCCTGTTCTCTTTCTTAAGTCACTTCAAATGCTATCCGTGGACGGGCGGCTCATTGTCAGGAGAGTTGCAGTGCGAGCAGGAGGGAGAGAACGCAGGTACAGGTACAACAGCAGCAGCCGCAAGCAGCACTTCAGCCACAGCATCACAGAAAACACACTCTGCTACACTCAACTGGTAAGTTCCACACACAGACTTCTCTGCACCCTCACACAAACACACACTTACATGGCACGGACTGGCATTTGAGGAGGGGCTTCGGTTTTAATGGATTGTTTGGAATGCATGGTGTGGCAATGTACGAGCTGGGGTCTCTGCACAGTGAGGATAAAAGAACAAACTGGCTGAAAGGGAAACATTGAATGTTTCACTATGCATCTGAAATTGTTGGGAAGAGGCGGAAAAACATTCTTCATGTATTCTGCATGTGGTTTATGTTTTCTATACATTCACATCCAAATACTTGTGTCTTGGTGATGTGTATTCCCATTATTTATTGATATGGAGTGACATTCCCTGTTTATAAAGACTGTGTTGCACTGTTTGTAAATTGTTTTTTAACAAACAAAACAACACTATGAATTACATAAATGAGATTTTGTAAATTTATCTGAAGTCCCTGCACTGATTTCATGATCTTCCCGAACTTGTTGTCATCTTTTAAACAATGACTTAGAGATCCTTCAGTCATACTGTGTGCATGTATGTGGATCTGGATGTATATGTTAAGAGCAGAAATAGTTGATTTATTGATCAGTCAATCCACAGAAAACAAACTATTCTGGTAACTAATTCTTTAAGACGTTTTTTTAAACAAAAACACCAAAATATTCCATCGTTCCAGCTTCTAAATGTTTCTAATTTGCTGCTTTTCTTTAATTTATGTGATTGTAAACTGAAAATGGTTAGACAAAACAAGTCCCCTTGGGTTTTAGGAAATAGTAATGGCCATTTTTCTGACATTTTTGATCAAATGATGAAAAAGTCATTTGAGAAAATAATCTGCTGATTAATGGACAGTGAAAATAATCTTGTAGATGGTAATATGTCTAATATGTGTTTTCCATGAACTATTATAATGAAAGAGTAGTTGCTGCATCTAGAACAGCCAAAAGAAATGTAACATCTAACAGCTAACAAAGTGGAACTTGTGGTCATAAATGGATCTGAATAGTTTCTGATTGATAAGCACCGAGCTATTTACATGAATAGAATAGATATGCACAACAAAACACAATTTGGATGTCATGCAGAAGTAAGACAGTTCCCCTCATGAATATGATCATCTTTTCACCCATGACCATCATCTATAGTAATCTATGCATACTGTGAAAACAACAGTTATTATTATAATTATATATAATTATAACATGTTATTTATAGCTATATGACATCTTAACATATCCGAGTTTTATGCTTATCAGTCATTTAATCAAACTCAGACTTCAAGTTCCACACAGAGATAAAGATTAAAAACATCACGTAGCTTTATCAGTGGAGGAGAAAAGAGGAAGTTCTTCCTGGCTATCAGTGCAAAAAAAAAAAAAATGAACAGAGCAGAGCAGAGAAAAAAAATACATGGAGAAGCGAAAAGTGTGCGGGAGGTAGAGGTGAACCTTTCATAGATAACTTCCTAATTTCAGGAGAGGAGGAGATCTGTGAGAAAGGAAGAAGTGAAAGGTTTCAGGTTGAACACTAAAGGGTGTGGGTGTTGACAACCTACTGTATGTGTACAGTCCTTCCACAGAAACAGTTTCAAATCATAAATAGAAACCAGACACAGAGGCATTGTATACAGGTACTTTTGTCATTTTTTTCTATATATGACTGTGAATTATCTGTTCTGCGGGGCATCAAGTATAATTAGGCAAAGGTGAAAAGTAACTAGGTTTATTTACTCAAGTACTGTATTCAAGTACAATTTGAGATACTCGTACTTCCATACAGTATTTCCATTTCCACATTACTCCACAAGGGGAGGGAGATATTGTACTTTTCACCCCACTACATTTATTTAACAGGTATATTACCAATTCATTTTCAGATTAAGATTTTATATTAAAAGACATATTATGAGCTTGTAAAATACAAAGTATTGTTAAAGTGTCCAAAAAGGGGACCCTTGTCTGAGTTTTTAGCAGTTCTACCAAAGAGATGTTTCCCCTTTTGAGATCTCAGGAGGTTTAATTTAAATAACTGAAAGAGGCCCAAAGAGGTAAAAGTATCCAGTATTTCACAAAAAGCGAAAGCTTTCATTTAATTTTAACATCACACAAATTTCTCTTGTGACTCTTGGAGGAGGTCTGACCCAAAGGTTGGGACTACACTACCTATATATGAAACAGTTAAAACTAGCTCCATCGTCACCAGAAAAATGCTGTTTATGCATTGAAGGTCCAGTGTGTAACATTTAGGAGAATACATTGGCAGAAATGGAACATAATATTAATATGTATGTTTTTGTTAGTTTATAGTTACCTGAAAATAAGAATCATTGTGTTTTTGTACCTTAGAATGAGCAGTTTATATACAGAGGGAGCAGGTGTTGGTGCCCGATCAGTACCGGATGTACCAGTAGCTGTGAATGTGCAACTTTCAGCAGAGATGAGAAGGAAACAAGATGACTCATTTGTTAGCTACCTCCATCATCAACATAAAAATAACAATGTTATTGATTAAGACCCTTTAAAAACAGGTTTTAACATCTTGTTGATGCAGTCGGATGAGGTATAAGATATGGTGAATTGTATGGACGTCACAACTATAAGCAAGTGTAAGACATACATGGACCATATATACATATGTAGTGACAACGTAAAAAACAAAAAATACACGTTTTTTTTTTTTTCAAATGATAACTGAAGTAACTAACGAGTGAGACATCCTGTTTCCTTCTCATCTGTGTTGAGAGATGCACAAGCGCAGTACAGATCGGGCAGGAGGTACAGATCACTACAGTAGCCCAAAAAGGACAAACTAACACCGTAGTTTCTCCAACACACTTGGAACCGGAGGGTGAGGTGAAGGTGTTACAATCAGCAACTAGACCGCTCAATGCCACAAAATCCTCCATGCTGGACCTTTAACGCGATTTATACCATTTCACAAAGCTCCCTCTTTCACATATGCAGTACTACTCCACAAAACCTGTAAATAGACTTTGATGTGTAAAATCCGTGGAGTTATTTTTTAGGCAAAGAATCTTCCACCACTCCACTAACTACAGAAAATGAACCCTTTCTTTTTTACTCTGTCTAACACAGAAAGAAGATGGAAACAGGCAGAGGGGCTTTCTCACCAGCACGAAGTCCTCCTCTCAGAGATGAGCTAAGACAGGCATCTCAGAACAGTTTCTACCTAAGCCCACCTCCACTCTACATTAAGCCCCCAAAACTCTCCCCTCCCAGATACCCCAGAATATCACCCACCAGAGACACATACAGGGCTTTCAGCCCACCTGCTTTCTTTCCCATGCTTGGCTCCGGTTATACCCAAAAGGAAGGATCCCAAAAACGCAAAAGAACTCCCTCTAAAATGGATGCCCAAGGAGGTGAATCCCCTGACAGAGGAGCAGAGGAGACTGAAGAAAGCAGCAGTAAGAAGACGGTGGACCTCTCCCACATCCCCTTTTCACTCCCACTTCGCCCCATTCCTTCCCCATCCTCTAAGCCCGTCCCTGGTATGATCGAACTAAACAGACTGCAGCTTCATCACAGATCACCTGGTATGAATCTACCTGTGCAGGTGAAACAGGAACCTCTCAGTCCTTCCCCTGTTTGGCCTCCCTCTCCTTTCCTCCTCCACCCTCCCTACTTCCCATCTCTCCACCACAGCCTCCTCCCATACCCCTTCTTCATGCCCGGCCCTGTCATGCACCTCTCCCCTGGACCTTTCTACCCAAGAGAGGATCTCCACCCCAGGCATCGGGGCAGAGACGGACCTCCTCGTGGTGGGACAACCAGCGCTGAAAAGCTTGGTCTCAACATCCACGTGGATGACAGTTATTATGTAGACGTGGGAGGAGACCAGAAGAGATGGAAGTGTCGTATGTGTGAGAAGTCCTATACCTCCAAGTACAACCTGGTCACGCACATCCTGGGGCACAATGGCATAAAGCCACATGGGTGCCACCTGTGTGGGAAGCTGTTTAAGCAGCTGAGTCACCTGCACACACACCTGCTCACCCACCAGGGCATGAGGCCCCACAAGTGCCAAGTGTGCCACAAGGCCTTCACTCAGACCAGCCACCTGAAGAGACACATGATGCAGCACAGTGACGTGAAGCCATACAGGTATGTATGTTTTGCAGCAAATTTTCTTTTTGTGTGTGCTTTTTCTTTTCAACTGTCCTCTTTTTATCTTAATATTTCCCATTTGTTATCTGCTCCTCCAGCTGCAGTGTCTGTGGCAGAGGCTTTGCGTACCCCAGTGAGCTTCGCGCCCATGAGCTGAAGCACGAGAAAGGCCAGGAGAACGTATGCGTAGAGTGTGGTCTGGATTTCCCCACACTGGCCCAGCTGAAGAGGCACCTGACCGCCCACCGCGGCCCCACCCTGTACAGGTGAGCACAAAAACAGTTCTTCCCTTTGCTGAAATATCTAATGATTGTGCTGTTAAAACAATAGTTTGACATTTTGGGAAATACCCTTATTTATTTTCTTGTTGAGAGTTTGAGAGGATTGATACCATTCTCATATCTGTAAGCTAAATATGAAGCTCCAGCTTGCAACCAGTTAGCTTAGCATTGCGTAAAGAAGACAGCTATCCTCTAAAGCTCACTAATTAAAATGTTACATTACATGTGTTTAATCAGTAGAAAAAACGAACCAAGCTAGTTTCCCCTTGTTTCCAGTCTTTGCACTGAGCTAAGCTAACTGGTTGCTATCTGTAACTTACCATACAGACATTAGATCATTTAATTCTCTGTAAGAAAGCGAACAAGTACATTTCCCAAAATGTTGAACTACTGCTTTAACATTTCAGTTCTCTATTTGGCTCTATAAAGAGGTTGCGGTATAGCTTACCTGTTGTTCCTGCAGGTGTTCAGAGTGCCAGAAGACTTTCCAGTACCCGAGCCAGCTTCAGAACCACATGATGAAACACAAAGACATCAGGCCGTACATCTGCAGCGAGTGTGGGATGGAGTTCATCCAGTCACACCACCTGAAACAGCACACGCTCACTCACAAAGTAGGTGTAATTCAACGACAAAGACAAAGACAAAAGACACAGCACTGGTTTTTTTGACAGGGGTTGGAAGCAAAAGCATGGATTTTTGGCATTAAGCAAAGTTATCAATTTTGCTGTCACATAAAGACATTTCCATTAATCCTTGTGAAGGTGGCTGGAAGAGTTTGGACACTAGCCTAACAGGTTGTTTTGGCAGCTGTCTCAAAAAAAAAATATCCCCCTAAATTCTGTCTCCTAAAGCTATTTTTACCCCTTAACATCCAGTTTTCTTTTTCAGTTGCTTTAGATTTGGAAAAACAATCTGATTTAACACGGGATTATGTATGAACAAGTATTGTCCAAAGTCTTTATTGAAGCTTAACACTGAGTAATTCAAACCCAAGACTTCATGTTTTCATTGCTGCACATTTTCATCAAATTGATTTTTGATGTCTCAGTATCATTTTATATCCATTTCCCAAAAGAGACATATTTGGACACTTAAATAAAGATAGTAGAAGAAATATCAGTTAACCTGAATTTTAAGCAGCAAACAGACTCGTCTGTTGACCACATTTCTCACACTGCTACTTCCACATTCTCTCGTTCTTCAGGGGGTGAAGGAGCACAAGTGTCGCATCTGTGGTCGTGAGTTCACCCTGTTGGCCAACATGAAGCGCCATGTCCTCATCCACACCAACATACGGGCCTACCAGTGCCACATGTGCTTCAAGAGTTTTGTCCAAAAACAGACTCTCAAGGCTCACATGATTGTCCACTCAGACATCAAGCCCTATAAATGCAAGGTTGGTCAAATTTAACACCTCAAATGTGGCTCTTTGAGTTGTGTTTCGGCCCTCAATTCCTCTTTTGTTCACTGATTAAAGGAGTTATTTAACACTTTAGGAAATACTTTTATTTGCTGTCTTGTTGAGAGTTAGATCAGAAGATCATTAGACTACTGCTCTCGTGTCCTGTCCTCACAAAAAAGTTGTTGCCCCAAAACAACATCTGTTGTGACAAAGCCCTCTAGTCGCTGTAGTAAGTATAACTCATGTCCGTCCGCTGTAAAGAAAGGAGACAGGTGACGTTATTATAGAACGACGGAGATTGGGGTGGATGGATGGGCCAACAAAACATACATACTTTAATACAGGGGGATGCTTTTTGTTCGGAGTTTCTTACCAGCAGTCAACATAACTTTCTTTTAACCATGGTTGCAATCGTACCATAACGATAACCAAAAGGTTATTGTAACCATGACAACAAAGTCAACCATAACAAGGTAGTAATTGCAACCGAAACCACAATGTTTCACTAAACCAAGTTGCTTTTAAGCCTAAACCTATTTGAACACTGACTGTCTGTCACATAAATACTGTCACAGTATAAAACTTTTAAAAAATATTTTTCAACTGTTGTTTTTAACAGTTTTGGAGTTTTGGTGACAGGAGTGTCAGATCAAAAAGGGAAGTTACTAACAATGTATTTTGTGAGTAAATTTGCAGGACATGTTGGCTAATTATGAAGTTAGAGCAGCCAGTTAGCTTAGCTTAGCAAATGGAGAACTAGCTATCCTGCCTCTGTCCAAAAATAACAAAATCTGTACCTCTAAAGCTTATTAATTAACACATTCTATTTGAATTGTTTTATCTGTACCAAAACCGAATTGTAAAAGTCATACAATGTGGTATTACTGGTGGTTATGTTGCAGATTTTATTTGGGCAGATAGCTCTTTCCCACTGTTTCCAGCCTTTGTGCTAAGCTAAGCTAACTGTCTGCCAGCTCTAGCTTCATATATACGGCATGAGAGTGGTATCGATCTTCTCATCTCACTCTCAGCAGAGAAAGGGAATAGGCGTATTTCGTAAAATGGCTAACTACTCTTTAATATCCACTCCTTTTACTGTAAGGGGTTTGGGTAAAGGCATCAAGACTTCACACGCTACCTTTATTGTTGACTAAATTAAATGCGTATTTAACCACAGCCAACAACCAAACCTGTAATATTTAGTGGCCGCTGCAAATAAAGGATTTCCCCACTTTTCTGGAGTGTCTATTTTGACCTTGGTGTTTGGTACGAGGACTGAGACGATGACCAGATAGCAGAGAGGCTTTTGGCAGTAGGACCCTCCTTGTCCATAGGAAGGATATCGCCACACAAACTGCCTCTCTAACAATGGCCCCCCAGCCTCCCCGGAGAACAGGGCCCTCAAATAGATTTCATCTCGCTTTCTCTGCTGCTGGAGGGAGCTTCCTGTTTTCTCACGGTCCTCTTGGACAGTTTACAGTCCCTCTCTCCTCCTGAAGGAAAGGACCACCCTAATAAAAAAGAATGTAGAGGAAGGACAGCGCAGGAGTTGCCCTTCCCTGTTCTCCTCCTGGCCCTGTCTCGATGTTGCTTCCTCTCTCTCTCTCTCCCTTTCTGTTTTTCTTGTGTGTGTGTCAGGGAGGGAGAGAGGGGGGAAAACAAAGAAAAGAGGAAAAGAGGAAAACAAGGATAGAAGGAAGGAGAAAGGGTGTGTGTGTCTACATATATCTGAAGGCCTGCACATTCATTCATGATTATGTGTAGCTCTACAACTCGGCATTCTTTAAAAATTGGTCATCGAACAAAGGGGTTTTGGCAGAGAAAGAAAAATAAGAGGTGGATGGTTTTGGCCTATTGTTTTTGTTTCCTCAAATAGTGTTCACTGCAGCCAGTGGTGCAAAGTAACTAAGTACATTTACTACTAAGTATATTTACTTAATTTTAAGTACTATGCTTGCATGCAATTCAAAAGGAAAATTTTTACTTTTTGCTCACTTATCTTACTTTTAAGATTGAGATGTGATATGTGAAACAAAACATATGATCAGCCTCTGAAATATGATGATGAAAAATAGATCTTATCTGGCTAATGACAACTTATCTTACACCTCTCTCCCTTGTCTTTCAGCTTTGTGGGAAGGAGTTCAACAGGATGCACAACCTAATGGGCCACATGCATCTCCACTCAGACAGCAAACCCTTCAAATGCCTTTACTGCCCAAGCAAGTTCACGCTGAAGGGGAACCTCACCAGACACATGAAGGTCAAACACGGCGTCATGGACAGAGGGCTGGATGAAAGATGTAAGGATGCACATATTGCAGATGGTACATGCAGTTTATGTGCAAAAATTGCTTTATATAATTACTTATTTCTCTGACTTCAGTGTTTAGGCAAAGAGGACGATTCTGCCTGTCCACCCCTATGGGCCTCCTCACCCACTTCAGCCAAGAGGAGCCGTTTGATCTTTCCCAGAAGCCCCCAGGCCTGCCCAGCCTCCGCCTCTCCCAGTCTGATGGCGAGAGTGTCCCTGGAAGCTCATGTCAGGAGGAGGATGAGGAGAGTTTGTACAGAAGGAGCCAGTACAGCCCCTCGGTGGACCAACACGAGCTGGAGGAGAGAGGACAAGGGTCTCCTGAACTCAGACCAGGGAAGAGGCAGAAACAAATGTATCAGCATAGTTTAGATGAACAGACATATGAGAGGGAGTCAGCAGCAGAGGAACACTCTGTAAATCCCAGAGGTGACCAGGTGCACCTCTTACAGTCAGAAGAGACATCCGAGATGGGCTATGACTCTGATTCGGAGCTGGGTGACCGCCACGAGACAGGCCGTAGACAGTCATATGGTTATGACTCAGATTCAGAGCTAGAAGATCATCCCCAAAAGGTAGATGAGCCAGATCAAAGCGCACAGCAGGAGGGAGGCTTTTGTGACGCAGCTGAGAGGAAACAGAGCAGATTGGACACAGGTGAATTCATGGGAGTTACGGGTCCACGGGATGAAGAAGAAGACTGAGAGAAAATAGTAGAATAATGAAAAGAAAATGCAGGTTTTAGGGAAGGTAGGAAAATGGAGACAGGAGACATGCCAATAAGGAGAGAGGAAAGTGTGTAAGTCTCTAAACAAAACTGATAATAGATGATGTGGTATAGTAGCTTAGCACAAGAAAAGAAACATAAATCATGTTTGTTAACTGAAACTGAAATACAAAGCTGTGAAGCATACTGCATGTACAGAATATATCATACACTGATTAATAGCCACTGACAGAAGGTTAATGGGCATTTATGAGTGGAAAAGATTAGGATGTAGCTTTTTTTGTAAATAAAAGAAAAAAAATATATTTAATAATTTTGTTTTGTTACAGATCATTTTGCAATACTGACTCAAATATGCCATTTTGCTTTAACTTTCACTCTCTTGTTTGTGTAAATCTATGCTATTAAAATCAATAATGTGCCATTGCTCAAACCACTGTGCATGTTTTGGGGTTATTTTGTTATTTTTGTATTGTAATGGGCATAATAATGTATTTCTTAACACGTACAGATATGATAAGGTTTGGGTTGCCTAAATCCTTTGAGTGTCTTTATGAAATAAACTGTGATTTAGCTTTTTTATGTCTAATGTTTAGATTTTCTTTATCTATATGCCTTTGTTAGATCAGTTTTGATGGGATGGCTGTGTTTTTATTATATGACATTGTAATGTTGATCATCTGAATATGATTCTGCAAGATTAATACAAAATAAAAGCTTGAACGCATGAACCTGTGCAATTAACCTGCAGTTTGTGTTTTTAGAAGTCGTTTTTACATCCCAGTGACTGTTTTGAGAAAATATAAGCCCAGATATTAAATCTGAATCGTCTCCGCTTGACAAACACTTTACCAAGCCAGAGATGATTGCTGTGAGTTTCAAAAAGCTTGCCTTTCTCCTCCTGCTTCTCTTTCAAAGCAGGGGAAGAGGAAGAGAAAACACCTCTCCCCTTCTCTCTTTTAGGTTGTGATCAAACAGCAGTGACGGACACAGTGGGTGTCCCAGACAAAGGCTTCATATGTCTGTATGACTCAGAATAAAGCATTGTTTCTGCTCATTGCAGAAGCTCCACTAAAAAAATAGGAATACTACTGGAATGAAGGAGTGCCTGAAAGCTTATTTTATTGCAAAGTGGAAGATGATGCATTATCATACATCATTTGTGATATCTCACATATATAGCAAGGGTGAAATAAAGTGTTGTTTTCTGTGTTTCTCTCCACACTGATATAACATTAAGCTCTCTGGGCTGTGGTATCGCATTAAATCTCACTTTATCGTACCAGTTCAGGTAAATTGAGTCATTTCTTGTCAGATGAAATGCAGAACAGCAGCTTCTCTATTTCTACCAGTGACGACCACCGTGTCCTAAAGGGTGAAACTGCAAACAGTTTGAGGAAGTTCTCACATCCTCCTCTCCTTTCCTTTCCTCACCTACATGTTTCAATCCCAACCACTACCGTGGAGACGAACTAGAGGGGGATAGACTGTTTGTGTAGCTGTCACCTAGCACGAATCAGTTCCTCTTAGCAGCATCATATTGTGCAGTCTCTGAGGGAGAACATGTATAACTCTGATCACTGACACTTAAGGAAAGAAGGAGTTTCATGAGGTCATTCTACCTCTCCTGTGTCTTTTTAATGAACTGAAACTTTAGAGAGCATGAGAATCAAAGGATCACACAGACACGTAGGAGAACAGGTAAATACTTATCAGATGGGAAACTGAATCATGTGGTAAGAAACGGTTGATGTTCTGCTTTGCAGTGAAAACCAACGCACTTATTATAACGGTGACAAGATGACAAGATAGTGTCTCATTAGGAAAAGGATAAATTACAGTTCATGAATCAGTAATTTTAGGTAAATAATTAAAATCTCTCAAGCTTTGTGATTCATACAAAAAAAACCTTTAACATACAGTTAATGTTACTTGTTGTTAGTGTTAATGCATGCTGTGGTTGGTTTTAAACAGTAATGTAAAATATTAGACCTTCCTTCTACAGCAGATAACTCTGATTTTCAGGCTCCAAATATGTTCTACAGTAATAAGTAGTTAATCTAACCCTCCCAGTGGACTACAACAAAACCCTGTGTCAGTTTTAGGGTCATAACAATTATTCAGTCTTCTCCAATTACTAATAGTTAACAGCTAGGATTTAAAGCACATATTTATTTTAGGTTAAACAAGGCTGTATATTACAGGGTGGTGCACATCCTGTTTCATTCCCTCCAAAATGTACTTAGCTGTTATGTAAGCAGACAAATTACTGCATTCTTTCTGAAATAGGTGTAATGCTACAGAAAACAGAGTTTCAAAAATATTAAACTCCTTGCACCTCATTGGCTCCTTTATATCTGAAGCTGTACCGTCTTACACAATATAAATGTTTTCCAAATATGAACAAGATACAAATCAGAGAGAGAAATCTTTTGCATTATTTCATGTCTTATTGTCAAACTAGTTCACAGATTAACTTCTACTCACAGATTCTAATCTAACCTTAATCTATGAAACTCTTGTAACATAATTACTGTAGATAATTAATGTTATATTCTCTCTCTCTATATATATAAATATATATATACTTTTGTCATTTTGTTGTTGTTTTATACTATTAAGACAATTGGGATGACTAAGCTCTTTTCTTTTCACACCTTCTTGCACATAATTTCTGTACAGTTTTTCTGTTTTTTTATGGCCTTTAATCAATAGTGAGTTTGAAATTCTTCCCTCAGGTCATAGATTTAAAGAACCAAGGATAAAGTGCAATAGGAGTAAAAACTCTTTTATTCCTCGTAATACCCCTGCTTAATTTGCACATGTCATTTTATATGTTCTCAGCATTTCATTTTCACATGAAATTTTGAAAATCCTATTATAGCACCTTACATATGAAATTATCCATCTTTTGATGTTTTATTATGGCTTGTCTGGACTTGTGTTGTTTTTTTGTTTTCCTTGTTTGTGCCCCTAACTGTGAAACAAGTTTCCCATTTGGGATAATAAACATAACAAAACTGAACTGATAGTGAAAGCAGAGGAGTGATGGGAGGGGGGAGAGAGAGGGGAAGGCCATGGGTCAGAGTCAAACCCCTGCAGCAAGGACCCCTTGGTACATGGGGCAGCGACTCTAGCAGGTGAGCTACCAGGGAGCCCTATGCTTTCTGGTGCAATAAGTAAAAATCTAAATCAAAATGACATGTACTTGTGATAATTATCAAGCATAACAATATATTCAGAGGCAGTCACTATACACTACACATCAAAATGACTCAAACAAATTTCTTATAATGCAGTTTTTGTGACACATGTTCTATCTCACGTACCTATTCAGACATCAGCATGTGAAATAAAAAGGAAGCAGACTGGGGATGCCCATGATACTAAAAAAAAAACCACGTCCACAAACAAACACCTTTTTAGATGAGGAGAATAGTGTGGGAGGAAGGTTCAGGTAGGATTTTTGATTCAAATTGCTGGCACACAAAGTATTGCCTCCTGCAGACTCAACATTTCGTACAATACCAACAAGAAGACACAGTAGTGTAGCAACAAATCATAACAACAGAATAGCATAGAATAACATAAAATATATCAGACTCCATTCACTGTATATTCCTGAAAAGATTTATCCCGAGTCGTGCGTGTAGAAATATTTACTTCCTGTCAGTTCTCTCTAGTGCAGCTCGGGTAAGAACTTCCTGTTTTGCAGGCGAGAGAGAAAATGAGATGGTGCTAAAATTCTTCCATGTTTTGTTTAGCAAAACTGTCCCACCCCAGTCTCAACCTGTCACCTCCTTTGACCCACAGCCAAGGAGTTTACTGTAATTATAGCTAAGGGCTGTCCTATTGTAGAATGAATAGAGAACACAAACACACAGAGAGGTGAGGGAGGACAACAGGCCAGCAGTCCAAATAAATACATGTTGCCTGTTTAAACTGCACAGCTCGACTCCCAATTTTGGGCTATCATCCTGCCTGCTTCATTTTGAGGGTGTGTTACTATTTTAAGGATTGTCTTCAATCTTTTAAACATGACTGGACAAATCTAATGTCCTGACAAGCTTCAGGAAGCAGTCATCCATGATGCTGAGTAACTAACACTGGGGCTTTTCATGGCTTTAAATGCAGTGCCAGTGTGCCACAGGGCAAAGTGAAGCACTGCATCAGTGACTTCAGTGTATTTATTGGGTCTGTTTCATCTATGAATGAACAGCAGAACAGCGCCCTCTATTGTCACAACATTGGTACTGTTCTAGTGTTCTGCTCTCTTTTTCAAATTAAAATATTTTTATATTGAAGGAATTTCTCCTCTTATTTAATTTCACAGCACATCCCCTGCAACAGAGTTATTTACCTGAGCCAACCAAATTATTTGCGCATTTACTGATGGCAATAAATCTGACAGCAACTTTGTCCAAGAACAATGTTTGAAGATGACAAACACACTTTTATGTATTATGAATATCACAATAGATTAATATGTAAGTTTCAAAATATGATATCATTATATTCTAGAAAAAAATAGATACTGCATTAGTATCCAAATGTATCTTACATCAAATGTATCCTGGAAAGATTGTGTTGGAAAGATTTAGGCAAAATAAAGACTATGATTCATTTTTATTTATTCATGTTTATCGGTAAAATATGCTGATTTGTTTTTTTTTTTTAATGGTGAAAACTAGTGTATTTCATGTGATGTACCTGTGGTTTGCTCATAAAGCTCAGTTGTATGTATGATTGTTGCTGGTCTTTGTTTTAAAAAAAAAAAAGATATTTGTTTAAAAATTATTTTGGCCAATTTTTGCCTTTTTATAACGTTATGAAGGTTTGCAAAAGTACCCTTTTCTGTGCAAAGGAATAATTAAAAACATACAGGTTTTCCATCATCTATAACAGCTCTCACTTTTGGTATAACCCTCTGTGTCAGTTCAGGGAGCATCACCCCCGCCCCGGTAAGAAATGGTATCGTCCAAACATGGCAGCCTTCGTATGGAAGCGGTGTGTGACAGCAGCAGTCAAAGTTAAACATTTATCTCCGTCTCTGTCAGGTAAATACATCTCACACCTGGGTTTTATTGCAGTGTCTTTCTTTGTTAATCTTCTGTTTTTTAGGCGGGAAGAGCTAAATGTCCCAGTTCATGTTGTTAGCCAACCGTATGTAGCTACATGAACTAGCTACCTGCTGAACTGAGGCTTCCTCACACAGTCTGCTGTTGTTAAGAGATGTAAAGTAAAGTGATGTGTCTATATGACCTGGTTTGTCTTTACAGCCAGAAGATGGTTGCTCTCAGCGGCTTACACAGATACCAAAGTGTGGGAGGCAAGAGAGAAAGATCCTCAGAACCTGGGTAAGACTTGAAACTGGTAATGCTAATATTCACATATGACCTTTAATGAACAGTCCAGCCAATAATATCTAATATCTAATATATAATAATGTCTCCAACGTGGACAGACTGTGGGCGTTATACAGGGGAAGCCCACATACAAAATGTCACTACTCCACAATTTATTCCTTTGCCTCACAGCAAGAAGGGTTCATATCATTTCCAGTCCAAATAAAGGTGAATTGGAGACTCTAAATTGCTTAT